AACATTCACAAAACAGCAACTGTTGTTTCCTTCATAATGAATTAATATGACATATTATTAGATTCAAATGATCACTGATTTGTATGATTTCTACGGTCTCTTCTGGAACTAAAATTATTTAAACCCATTAATCTTGCTTCAAAAACAGAATTGGCATTTTTACAGTTCTTGGTGTATATTTTACCAGTGTAATACATAAATCAGTCATTTCTGTATAAACCAGGTGAGGAAACATTACTAAGCTTTAACCACCTAAGGAGTATAGGTCACTTATTACTTGAAAGTGAACCTGAAGGAAAGCACTAACTGATTTGGAAACAAATAAAAAATACCTGTACTTACTGTTTTTATTAGCTGATGACTTAAGAATTCCTTAACACAAGTTTTGGCAGATCATCCTGCTTGACACCTTCCTTTGTGCTCACACTAAATCCCCTGATGGATTTGTTGTGAGAGCACATAATGAGTAATTGGGGGATATGACATAAGTTAATTGCTATTCAGATTTTGCATGTTCTTCTTTATATAGAAATCTCTATATGTTCCCTTACATGGTATGGAAAGAAGCCAAAAGGACAAAGGAAACAGAAATAGAAATTTTGCTTGTTAGTTTTAAATAGTATGTACTCCACACAATTACCATCTCCTACTAGTTAAAATGATTTAATACCTGTTCTTTGGGGGACAGGTAACATATTTCTGAGGTTTTTAAATGTTTTCTTACTCTCTTCTCACATAAAAACAGCAGGAGAAACCGAAATTAACATTTACTTATAAGTATAAAGGAAACAAGAACACTGATTTGAGTCATTTTCTCATAGAGATATACTTTGATACATAATACAAATGTTTCTTGGATATTTTGAACAAATAAATTAACTCTTTCCTCTTATAATAAAGATTATGTTTTAATCTCTTATTTATAAACTCTCATTCAATGATTTTAGTAGCTACCAAATGATCTAATCTAGTATATCCATTTTGAATTGTTAACAAATGTAGCTGTGCAACAATATAAAGAAATTACAGAACCACATAATTTCATACTTGCACTGAAGTTTGCAGATGCATTATATTAAAAGATGTGCACTTACTCACCTTATGTTCTTCCTGGCAAGTAACTGGTCCAAGGTTAGTGAAAATCCCATACATAAAAAAATAAAGTGAAAAACTAAAGATTTTTCTTCCCACCAAGAAATGAATCCGTTTTTCAAACCAGGCACATCTGTTAATTCATAAATGCAAACAGAGCAGTGGCAGTACTTTTTACGCCTTGTGACTGACTAATATATTCAACCAATAAAAAGATAGCTTTTCCAGGATGTACTATGTGTGGGAGAGGGTGGAAGGAGGGGCCTGATACTGCTTAATTTAGAGTACAGAGTGAAACTAATGAGTCTGTTTAGGTTGTTTGATTATTCATTGCAATGAAAGATTATTAAGCTCTTTTTAGAAATTGGCGTAGTTTTGGTACTCTCTTCAGAATCTCATAATGCTTTTCAGGAAACAAATTCTCCTCAAAAATCTATGAGGTATACAATATCATAGGCATTTTTCAGGTGAATAACTAAGTAAAACTCTCTGAGGCTAAACTAATTTTATGTACGTGTCCTATTGAATTCATGACTCTCCATTTGCTGAGAGGCATGAAATGCAATGGTAAAGCACACTGGCTTTGGAGTCAGACAGCACTCAAGTGCATTCCCAGCTCCAGCTCTTACTAGCTGATATTAGTCAAGTTACTTTTCTTCATTTGCAGAGTGGAGACAAAGGTACTTAACTCAAAGAATTGTTGTGAAGATTAAACAAGGCCCTGAATAGCCAAATCTACCTTGAGAAAGAAGAACAAAGCTGGAGGCATCACACTTCATGATTTCAAAATACATTACAAAGCTACAGTAATTAAAACAGAACAGTACTGGCATAAAGACAGACATATAGAACAATAGAACAGACTACAGACCCTAGAAATAAATACATGCACATAAGGGTAACTGGTCAACAAGGGTGCCAAGAACATACAATGGGAAAAGGACAGTCTCTTCAACAAATGATGCTGGGAAAACTGGATATCCACATGCAAAAGAATGAAATTGGATCCTTATCTCACACCATATACAAAAATCAACTCAAAATGGATTAAAGACTTAAAACCTAGAAGAAAGCATAGGGGAAAAGCTTCAGGACGTTGGTTTCGTCAATAATTTTATGGCTATGCTCCCAAAGCATGGGCAATAAAAGCAAAAACAGACATAGGACTACATCAAACTAAAAAGCTTCTACACAGCAAAGGAAACAATCAACAGAGTGAAAAGGCAACCTATAGAATGAGAGAAAATATTTGCAAAACATACATCTGATATAGGGTTAATTTCCAAAATATATAAGGAACTCCTACAACTCAATAGCATAAAACAAATAACACAATTTTAAAGTGGGCGAACGATTTGAATAGACATTTTCCCAAAGAAGACACACAAATGGCCAACATGTATATGAAAAGTGCTCAGTGTCATTAATCATCAGGGAAATAAAATCAAAACCACAAAAAGACATCATCTCACACCTGTCTGGGTGGTCGTTATCAAAAAAAGAAGTGTTGGCAAGGATGTGGAGAAATCGGAACCCATGTACACTGCTGGTGGGAATACAAAATGGTGCAGCTGCTATGGAAAACAATATGCAGACTCCTCAAAAAATTAAAAATAGAACTACCATATATGATCCTACAATTGCACTTATGGATCATTATCCACAAGAATTGAAATCAGGATCTCAAAGAGATATTAGCACTCCCATTTTCACTGCAGCACTATTCACTATAGCCAAGAGGTAGAAAAAATCTAAGTCTCTGTTGATGGATGGATGGATAAACAATACGTGATATATACATACAATGAAATATTATTCAGCCTTTAAATAAAAAGGAAATTCTGCGATATGTGACAACATGGATGAACCTTGAGGACATTTATCTAAGTGAAATAAGCCAGTCACAAATACTATATGATTCCATTTATATGAGGTGTCTAACACAGGCAAATTCATAGAATCAAAGAGTGGAATGGTGGTTGCCAAGGGCTGGGGAACGAGGAAATAGGACTTGCTAATTAACTGGCACAAAGCTTCAGTTAAGCAATATTAATACATTCTAGAGATCTGCTGTACAAGACTGCATCTATATTTAACAATACTGTACTGCACACTTAAAAATTTGTTAAGAGACTGCATCTCATATTGTGTTTTTATCACAATATAATAAAATTTTAAATAATTAACACAGATGAAAGCCTTTTCTTACTTCAATGCCTAGCTAAATAAAGAATATCTATTGTTATTCCTTCTTTGCCAGTCTCCACTTCAACCCACCACCACCTAACAAGCATCAAACAAACAACAAAATTCCTAACAGCTGTTTTGTATAAAAACATACAATTAAAAAGCCACAATAAAGAAAATCCTCCAAAATGAAAGTGTCAGCATTTTTTTTTTTTTAATGTTGAGCCTTCTTTTAATTTACTTATTTTTATTTTTGGCTGTGTTGGGTCTTCATTTCTGTGCCAGGGCTTTCTCTAGTTGTGGCAAGCGGGGCCACTCTTCATTGCGGTGCACGGACCTCTCACTGTCGTGGCCTCTCGTTGTGGAGCACAGGCTCCAGACACGCAGGCTCAGTAGTTGTGGCTCACGGGCCTAGTTGCTCCGCGGCACGTGGGATCTTCCCAGACCAGGGCTCGAACCCGTGTCCCCTGCATTAGCAGGCAGATTCTCAACCACTGCGCCACCAGGGAAGCCCAAGTGTCAGCATTTTTGACACTTAAGAACCTTGATCTTTTTAATGGCAAACTACTGGTAGCTGAAAGGGGCTATTTGTAAGTGGCATTTCAGAGAGGATGCATTATAGGAAGACTTGGGACTTGACCCTGATGAGATACTACCTTCCTCACTGTCCACTTTGCACAAATACCATCTTCTAACATGGCTCTAGGGAGCCCTATAGAAAATGAGGAGATTAAATCACAATGACTGGGAGAAGTGGGAGAAAACAGAAGTAAGGAAGAAAATTGCTAATAAAAATTATAAAATACAAAAGGTCTGTCCATGCCCCATCTTATTCCTACTTCTCAGCATGTATTTCCTTTCTTCTCTGTTCTTTCACTGCACCCAACTTCCACCCTTTGCCTTTTCTTTTACCTTTCTGTCCTCTTCCTGATTCCATGGAATTTCAAGGAGCAAGACAGGTCTGGGCAGGAGGAGCTTTGTCATAGGCAGTGTTGCCAAATAGAATTCGGGACACTTGGTTAAATGTGAACTTCAGATAAAAAAACAAATAATTTTATTACTAAGTATGCCCCATGCAGTACTTGGGACATACTATACTAAGAAATTATTTGTTGTTTATCTGAAAACTAAATTCCACTGGACATCTTGTATTTTTATTTGCTAAATCTGGCAATCCTAGTCTTAGGGACTCTCTGCTACTCAAATTTTAACATGCATACAAATCACATGACATTTTCTAAAAATGCAAATCCTGATTCAGTAGGTCTGGGGTGGGGCATGAGCTTCTTTGTTTCTAACAAGTTTCCGGATGATGCTGATGCTGCTTGCCTGAGGACTGCTCTGTGAGTAGCAAAGATCTAAAACATTGCTCAGTAGAAATAAAATAAGAGCTATTGTACATATGTAATTTAAAGTTTTCTAGTAGCCACATTGAAAGAATTAAAAATAAGCAGGTGAAATTAGTTTTAATAATATATTTTATTTAACCTGATACATCTAAAATATTATTCCAAACATAAGTAATTTTTAAAATTATTAATGAGATATTTTACCTTCCTTTTCTGCCTTAAGTCTGAAATCTGGTATATTGATTTAATCTACACTTATACACATCTCAATTCAGACTAACCAAACTTCAAGTGCTCAATAACCACATGTGGCTAGTGGCTGCTGTACTGGACAGTGCAAACACAGAACATCTCCAGCTGCCCGAGCAATACCTCATAGTCTCCCACGGTAGTAGAAGGAGTAGCTGATCACATTGCTCCTCAAACGCCTGGTCAGGAGGAGGTGAGAGCCCAAGCCCATGGTGATCCTGTATTGTGATAATAATGGTTCTGTGAACACTCAGAAACCACAGTGTTAGTCCCTTAGTGCTTATCATGTAACAAACTTTCTTGAAAATACGCTTCCTTTATATTTTCAGGCACATACACATATACAACATTTTTTATTTAAATCAAGTATCATTTTAATATATTTTATGACTGGATGATTCTAAAATTTTAATATAGCATTCTTTCTGGTGTCGAAATTTTTTCCCACTTGGTTAAGAATATTTAAGGCAGAATAATTAGTAGTTAGTAGGTTTCACACATGTATTTTAGAATAGAAGTCACACTTAAGATGTGATTGTCTGATAATAGCTCATCTTGTGACTCTGGAGGAGAAAATCAGTGACAAAAAAAATGCTAATATGATAGCTTGCAGACTGCAAAGCACAGGGTATCACCTGTGTGGCATTGTACCTGCCTGCTCAGACAGCTAAGGGGTCTCTGTCCAAAACTTTGATGGTCTGAGGTTTTTCCCAACTTGGGAGCTAACAGGTTAGCCTGTTATGGCTTCATGGATACTAGCAGAAGACAAGACTCATGGGTCAGAGACAAAGGACTTTATTTACTACTCGCCACAGAACAAGCAGTATGAGCATCAGTCTATTTGTGTTAGTTCCCTTGGCCCATAAAGCAATATAGGCGGGCCCAGATGGATGCTTGTATACACGGTGGGTTTCATTTCAGGAGAAAAACCCTGAGTTTCCAAGGCTATAAACAAACCTGCCCCTCTGCTAGAGATAAAGACATTATTTCTACCTTTCAAGGCTGTTCGCTATACAAACATCCTAAAGATATTCCAAAACGAAGAGCAATTAGTGACTTACAAGATAAACAGAAAATACAGAGGTGCATGGAAAATATTCCCTCAACATTTTCCATGAGAGAACAGGAAGTTGTACATCCATGCTGCCTTTTTTTCAACTGACAATACTTGGATTTGCTTCATTTTCTGATTTACTATATATTATTAAATGAAATGTTACCTGAAAATATGAATATCAAAAATCTATCTTCCATAATCATATATAACTATACAGAATTGAGTTCGCATGGGAAAAAAATGGATCTATCTTAATTCTAATATTTACTTCAAGGAGCATCTAGCGTTTGTCAGACCACAGTCTCTATTCATCCAAATGCTCTCAGACTGAAAATCGCATTAGTCAAATGTTCAAATCAATTACAATGGTCTTTGCACGCTGATTCAAAATCCAAATCCATATACCTCCTACAAAGCCTGCATGACCTGGCCCTTGCTGGTCTCTCTCGCCTCATTTATGGCCACCCTTCTTCCACCATGCTCCAGCACACTGGCTTGCACTCAGCTTCTCAACACCCTCCATATGCCAAGCTTTTTTGCACCTCAATGACTCTGCACATATTGTTCCTTCTGTAGGGATCACCTCACACCCCTCTAGCTCTCCCTGCCTTCTGTTCGCTCTCATCATAACATATATCACAATTTGTACCAAGACATTTATTTTCTTGTTACTTATTTGCATTGCGTTTCCTCATCAGAAGGCCTGCTCCGTGAGGGCAGGGAACATGTCTAATTAACTGATGTACACCAAGACGCTGCTGGTCCAAGTTGGTGCTAAATAAAGTGTACAGAATAATGAATAAACCTATCAAAAATGTTACATAATTAACTCCCACTTCATGCCACATGGCTGTGACTCCTAGCGCCTGAATATTTAGGCAATTGTAGCTAGAAAATCAACTAATTCAAGTATTCCATCAAATTCAGTAGGTTGAAAATGCAAATGGACAAAACCCACATTACATTAGTTTATTAGCAAAATACCATATTATGTATGTACTTCTTGCTCCTTGTCAGGGGTATGACTCTGTGACGGTTAATGTGTGTCAACTTAACTGGGCTGTTAAGTATCCAGATACTTGGTTGTGTCTCTCAGGGTGTTTCGGAATGAGATGAACATTTTGAATCAGTAGATTGAGCAAAACAGATTGCCCTTTCCAAGGTGAGTGGTCCTCATCCAACCCACTGAAGGTCCAAACAGAACAAAAAGGCAGAGTAAGGGAGACTTCACTTTCTCTACCTGTCTTGTAGCAAGGACATCAGTCTTTTCCTGTCTGACTCAGACTACAAATGGAACTATACAACATTGGCTCTCCTGGGTCTCTAGCTTGCTGACTATAGATGTTGGGTCTTCTCAGCCTCTATAACTGCAAAAGCCAACTCCTATATTAAATCATATATTCATATTCATATGTGTGCATATATATGTATATATCTCCTATTGGTTTTGTCTGGAGAATCCAGACTAATACGGACTCTTTATCAAGTTCAGAGCCTAATTGCTGCCATGATTTCTACCAATTTTCATCAAATCAACTTGAGTTGATTAGAATCAGGTTAGCAAATGAAACACAAGTGCTTTTGATTTAAATGTTAATGTTTCTTACTTGAGATCCCCCTTTGACTTCGTGGAATGTGGATAATGTGCCAAATTAGTGGCACACTTTTACATTCTCGTTTCTCAAGCTAAACTGAACCAGGAGGTCTGAGGTTTCATAAATCTGTCCATTATGCAAACATTGATTGTCATATGCTAGATGCCAGGTATACAAGGTAAAAAGGACCTAGTCTTCACCCCAAAAAAGATCTCAAACGAGTGATATGCAGAGACGTGAACACGTAATTGCTGGGGTAAACATTCTGGGGACGTTTCACCTAGCAAACTTCTCTGAAGTCCCACCTCCACTCCAAGCAACGGCTGATTAGATGAGGGGGAGAGAGGCAGGTATATAATAGATAAAGAGATAAGAGATGAGTCATAACTATCTCCTTTGAAGAGTTGAAGCAGCTTTCCTAGGGAAGAAAATGCCTCTGCTACTCTCAAAAATGCTCCCACAGGCACCTGCACAGTCCTCACCTCAACAGACAGGAATCAGAGTTTTAATTCATAAAATAAAACTCACATTGAGAATATGTGCTATTTGATGTTGCCCTATACTTTAAGCTGTTTATAGAAAGAGCAAAATGGATTCTTTGGACAAAAATTAATACTTCAGAGCATTATGTACAACTACTCAGTAAAATCCAAGATGTTGTCCGCTGCATAATTAACATAAGCCTGGAAATTTTAACTGAAAACCTATATAAGTAAATTTCAAAATTCATTGGCACATAGTACAAAAAATGATCTTATATATGAAGTGGTTATAGATTCATTCATTTGGGTTATCTTCATAATCAGTAATGACTGCTAGAACCAACAAGATCAAAAAGTAATGTTTTAGAGCAGTGGAAAAATTACCTCTGTCCTTTGTGTAGCTATAAAAACCCAGAACCCCTCACTTCTTTTCTTCCTCTCTTCCTCCACTTCCTCATTCCTTCTTTTTCTCTTTTTTTTTCAATTTATGGAAAAAAATCTTGTTTAACCTTATTTAAAGTCCTTTAAACAATAAAAATCTTAGTAACAGAAAATGCTCAAAATTTTACACATTTACTTTCATAAAAGTTTTATATTTATATATTATAATATTATTACATTTAAATAATCTACAAATAGTCCTGGTGAAACTTCATTTTACTATGGAATGAAAAGGCAGAAAGAGTGACACCAGCCATTCTCCATCACAAACATCAACTGGTCCCCACTGAACTCAGACAGCACAGATTTGGCCCATCTACAGGTTCTTAAACCTCTCCAGGGAATAAGATTCTAAAACTTAATGTTCCATTGAGTGAAGAAAGTTATTTTCCCTTCCTAGTGAGAAAAATTATCTTTCATTTCTTATAATTCAAAGGTCCCTGATGAAATAGAAGCCTATTTTCTTTTGTTTGGTTTTCAGCCAAGTTAGAGAACACCTGGAGAATAACTTTTAACATGCATATTAAAATGATAACTCTCTTCCAGGAACTTCACAAAGGGCATCAAAGAACAGCACTGTCAATTCCCCTTAGATCCTACACAGAGGTTTAATTAAATAACAAGATTTTAAAGATCAGGCTTGAACGTTAGTAAGATTATATGGCAATACACATATTTCTTTAGTTCCACAGAATAGGTATATGAGAAGAAACAACAACTACATCAAAAAGTAGCTAGAATGAGAGGATAAGAAATCTCATTAATTTTGGATACAGGAAAAGTTGTGTTTAATAATTTAATCAGGTAAAATGAAGCACTCAACATTTATCAATAGTAGTTATACAGAGCGTATACGCACTGGTCTTACTTTTACTGCTTATTCTTCCCCACTTAAAGCTGTTATTTTTTTTATTTTTATTTTTTGCGGTACGCGGGCCTCTCACTGTTGCGGCCTCTCCCGTTGCGGAGCACAGGCTCCGGATGCGCAGGCTCAGCGGCCGTGGCTCACGGGCCTAGCGGCTCCGCCGCATGGGCACGATCCCGTGTCCCCTGCATCGGCAGGCGGACTCTCAACTACTGCGCCACCAGGGAAGCCCCATAAAGCTGTTATTTTATCTTGTCACACTTCCACAGCAACTAATGCCTCCATTTTTATAGCTAAAACACTAGGAATAACTTCTAACCATTCCAAATGCTCCAGAATCAATTGTCAACATTGTTAAAACTCTTAGCCATTCTTCCCCAAAGCTAACTTCTTGCCCATACAGAACAAAGAAACAGCATCACCCTTGACCTAAGTCTCCTCATCAACTGATCTAATTTATGAAGATCAATCTTTCTTCTTAGTTGGCGGGCTCTGAGAGAAGTCAAATAATAATACTCTTCTGCCCCACCTGAGTGCTAAACTGAGATATAAAACAAGGAGTAAGACAAGCAGAGGCCCAAATACCATCTTTATTACTATGAAAGGCCAGGTTGGAGGACAAAGCTTAGCGCAGGAGCAAAATGGATTGTAACTGAACCCCTCCCCGCAGAAGACAGACGTGGCAGCCTATCACAGCAGCACTAGGCTCTCAATAGGGAAGAGAGGCCTGCCCCAGAAGAAACAGGAGGAAATGTGTGCTCCATGGCAGGCTGGGTTCCAAAAAGGAAAAAAGGAAGAACTGAACATGCCTAAACTATCTTTTCTAAATTTACCACATGAAGAGAGATGTAACCTCATCTCACCTGGCATGGAATGAGTAGACTGGCAGAGAAATAAGGAGTTAAACTAATTTAACACCTTCTACTTGGAGGAAATACTAGGAAAAACTTGTTCTCCTTCCTGCCCCCATTCCCCCAACATTTTAAGAACTACCAAACAGGATCTTTTGTGACAAAGTGTCTGTCGGTTTTCACATATCTCTAGTAACCCATGGATATGGGGTTGCAATTTATATTAAGAATACTTTAATCTTAACAACTATACCCCTTAGATTTCCTGGTGTTTTGCTGGCTAGAAAATTATTTCCCATCCATTTTGCACCACATTTACTTTACATTTATCAAAAATTTTTCTAAACTCTTTAAAAATCAAAATTGTGTCTTATAACCAATCTGGAAACCAACAAATGTGTTCTGGTTAAGAAAGTTAACTTCTTTAAGTCTCAACTTAAATGGTAAAATGGGTCTAATAACAGCACTTACCACATAGGAGTTGTTTAAAGGTAAAAGGAATTCTGCATGTGAAATCCTAAGCCTGACACTAAACAGTACTCAGTATCTGTTAGATGTTCATGACGGTGGTGGTGGTGGTGATAGTGATGACGATGATGTCAATGATTTTGCTCTTTCCAACATGATCTAACTCCAAATTATATCCTGACCCTTATGACATCTCTCCACCTCCAATGCTACTTATCTATGATCTCTCACCTATTCTATTGCAACAGTCCCCTCCTTGGATAGCCCGAGTCCTCTCTTGTCCCTCTGTGGTGGCCTACCATGGCAGGCACAGTGATATTTTTAAGATGCAGATCAGATCTTGTCATTCTTTCACCTGAAGCCTCCAGTGGCTTCTCATCACACTCAGAATAAAACCCAAACTCCTTATCCTGGCCTACAGGTTGGACGTGAGCTGATCCTGCCCACCTCTCGGACTTCACCTTCCTCTGTTTTCCAGCTGGCTCACTACACTTTAGCCATGGCAGCTTTCTTTTCCTCTAATTCCTCAAGCTGATTCTTGTTTGGGTACCCTTTTAGAAAATTCAGGGTCCAAGGTCAAAGGAAATTCTGTCTCCTTTCAGGCTCCAAATTACATAATAAGTTCTTTATCACGAAGTAAAAAATTCAAAGCTCCAAAAACAAAAATTAAATCCTTTTAAAAAAATTTTCATAGCTATAGTAATCAAAATCCTTGGTTCATAATGCATTCTGACCATTGGTTCATGCTTTATTTACTTGTTGGTTTACATAATAATATAATAATTAAACCCACTACCTAAAGTAAACATAACCCAACATCCAACTCTGATCCCCACTCTCTCCACATAATGTCACTATCATCCCGAATACAGGATACAGAAGACCTGAACAGCACTATCAACCACCTTGGGCTAATTAACATTTATAGGACATTCTTCCTCAGCAAAATATACTTTCTTTTCAAGTGTACATAGAGAATGCACCAAGAGTGACTATATTCTGGTCCATAAAGCAAACCTCAACACATTTTAAAAATATTGCAATCAAAAAAGGATGTTCTTAGACCATAATGGAATTAAATTAGAAATAAATAACACAGATATTTAGAAAATCTCCAAATATTTGGAAATTAAATAACACAATTCTAAATAATCCATAGGTCAAAAAGAAAATCAAAAGAGAAATTAGCAAATGTTTTGAAATGAATTAAAACTAAAATATAACATATCAAAACTCACAGCATGCAGCTCAAGCAGTACTTAGAAGGATAGTCATACTACACATATTAAAAAAGAACAAAGACCGCAAATCAATGACATAAGCTTCCATTTAAGTCTAAAACAAGCAGAAGAAAGTAAATAATAAAGAAGACCAGAAATCAATAAAAATGAAAACAGAAAAACAATAGAGAAAATCAGTGAAAGCAAAAGTTCGTTCTTGGAGTACATCAATAAGATTACAAAACTTCTAACTGACCAAGAAAAAAAGAGGAAGAAGATACAACTTACCAATATCAGGAATGGAAGATGAGACATCACTATAAATCTACAGATATTTAAAAGATTATAAAGGAACAGTACAAACAACTTTATGTCCATAAATTTGACAACTTAGATGAAATGGACAAATTCCTTGAAAGGCACACATTACCAAAGTTCACTCAAAATGAAAGAGATAACCTGTATAGTACTATATACTATATATAGTACTATATATTCACTGTTAAAAACCTTCCAAAAACAAATATATATAAAATACATATATACAAAAATACATATATTCATGCATAAGAGAATGTCATAACAGCTTTATGAAACAATTTTGAAAACTTAGATGAAACAAACTTAAAAAAAATGACTTACCAGGTCTGACTCAAGAAGAAATCAGTTCTCAAATAGTTCTGTAAATTAAGAGATTTAGTTTAAATGAGAGATTTAATTAAAGATATTTAAGCTGAGGTTTATTACCTTCCCACACAGAAAACACCCAGCCCAGATGATTTTACAGGATGTTTTACTAAACTTTCAAGCAACAAACCATCCCAACTTTATATGAACACTTCCTGTGAATATCAACTCAGTTTGTAACTTGTTTTTTTGCTTTCTTTCAGGTGTTTTTGTTGAACAAAGGTTCTTAATATGGTCAAATGTATCATTCTTTTCTTCTTCTTTAGAAATATTTTCCTTTCCTAAGTTCATGGAGATATTCACCTTTGTTTTCTATGAAGAATTTAAAAATTATATTGCTGACATACAGGTCCTCAACCTGCCTGGAGTTGATTTTTGTTTTTAGCCTGAGATGGTGATTCAATTTACTTTGGGTAACCACTTTTTGTGTAGTTCCATCTGTTTGACAATCCTTCCTTTACACATTGATCTGACATCTAATTCTGTCATTTAATAATATTCTATACTAATTCTATAGGAGTCTTTTGCTGAGCTCTCTATTCTATTCATTAGTCAATTTATCTACTTCTGTACTAATGCTGCACTATCTTACTTAGCCTCGTAGAAATTGCTCATATCTGGTAGGGCCAGGCCTTCAGAACTGTTTTGCCTATCTCTAGCTCTTTACTCCTCCAGCTTCAATCTCATGGAAAGAGAGATTCCTTATACTCTCAACTCCCTTGCCCTTCCTCCATCACATTCACCTAACTAGATCCCACTCCCAGGCGTGTTAAAAGCTAACTCTCTACCTACTCAGTCACTACACTGAATGAATCTGAACAATACACAAAACCATGCTGATGTAACTTTGTAACTACGGTTTCAAATGGGTCCTCAAAATTGTTCAACAATCCTACATTTTCTTGTCAATCTATCCTCCCACACTTCTAAATTAGAAGGCAAAATTCATGTTGAGACCTAATCCCCAATGTGATAGCATTAGTAGGTGGGGGGCCTTTGGGAGTAAATTAGGTTATGAGGGTGGAGCCCTCATGAATGGGATTAGTACTCCTATAAGGAGGGTCCAAAATGTCAAATATATCTCAATAAAACTGGAAAAAAACACACAACAACAAAAAAACAGAATATAAATAAAAGCGACCCCAGAGCTGCCTTGGACCTTCTGCCACTTGAGGTTATTGCAAAAGAGTCTATGAACCGGGAAGCGGGCTCCCACCATACGCCAAATCTTCCAGCACCTTTGTCTTGGACTTTCCAGTCTTCAGAGCTGTCAGAAATAAATTTCTGCTGTTTATAAGCCATCCAGTCTATGGTATTCTGTTACAGTAGTGTGACTGGATTAAGACACTATCCCTCAGTAAAAGAGGTAATAAAAGTATTTACCTTTCAGAATTATGAGAATTAAATGAGTTAATATATGTAAGGCACATAAAATATGCGGCACACAGTAAATACTATTTAATGCTAGCACTGTTATCCTACGTGATTTCACATCTTACCCCCTTTACTCAAACCTCTTTTCCCTACTCCTTCTCTTCACTGATGACCCTGCTAATTTCATTGAGATAAGAGTAGTCAAAAGAAAAGTTCCACGTCTTCTTATCAACAGATCTTCCAATTTACTTGCAGTTGTACCCCTATACTCTGCCTTCTCTATTACTGTAGATAAATTGTTATTATTCCTCAGGTCAACTCCTCCACTTAGGGACTTCCCTGGTGGTCCAGTGGTTAAGACTCTGCGCTTCCACTGCAGGGGGTGCAGGTTCGATCCCTGGACTGTAACTAAGATCACACAGGCCGCATGCGCAGCCAAAAAAAGAAATTCCTCCACTTAGGCACCCCTCTAGTCTACTCAAGGACTTGCTCATGCAGTCATCCCTTTTCTCTATGAATTATCTATTTTTTACTTCTCTACTGGAATAATCCCATCAGTATACAAAAATGTCATAAAATGTGCCCTCTTAAATCCATCCTGGCTCCACAATCCTCTCCAGATATGGCCCCCTTTCTCTGCACATTATAGAAAAACTCCTTGCAAAAACTGTCCATAATTGCTGTCTATAGTTCCTTCTCTCCCATATTCTGACTCCAACCCAATCAAGCTTACATCTTCACCACTCCACGGGATGCCCTCTTGACAAAGGTACCAACAACCTCCACATTGCCAAATCCAAATCCAATTCTCAGTCCTCATCTTACCCTTCCTTCACACTTGCTCACTTCCACCTTCTTCACTTGGCTTTGATTAGAGTACGGCATTGGCCACTCCTTCTCAGTCTATTTCGCTTCATCTGCTTCTCTTCATACCACTAAGTTTCCGTGTGCCTAAGGCTCAGGCCTCCAACCTCTCTCTGTTCCACCTACAGTCATCCCCTAAGCGATCTCACTCAGAGCCATGGCTTTCAATGCTATCTATTCACTGATGACTCTCCTGAACACCATACCCGTATATCCAACTGCCCACCTCACATCCCTACCTGGAAGTCTAACAAACTTCTCAAAATTAACGCATCCTTAACAGCACCCTTAATATCCCTTTCTAAATCTGCTCCTCTCCCAGTATTTCCCACTCTGTAAATAACACAAGTCATTCAGTTGCTCAGGTCGCAAATTATAATTAACTTCCCTCTCACATCCTACAGTCCTGAGCAAATCCTGTTGGCTCTACCATCAAACTGTAAATCTAATCCAACCACTTTTACCACCTTGGACTGAGAAGGGTATCATCTCCCAACTGAAGTAGCGTTAACACCCTCCCAACTGGCTTCACAGATTCATCTCTTACAGTTTTTTTCTCCTCACAACAGCCAGAGTGAAACTATAAAAATATAAACCCTATCTTGTTACTCCCCTGCTGAAAACTTTCCAAAGGCATTCAATCACAGGAAGAGTAAACAAAGTCTTGACCATGGTCTACAGGTCCCATATGACCCTGTGCACCTCTCAAACCTCACCTAGCACCACATTACTCTTCAAGCACTCAGTTCCCCCCTCCCTGATCCCTCAGTCCTTGAGAAGCGCCAGCCCATTCTACTTATGGAGAATCCCTCTTCTTGGAAGGCTTTACCCATACACTTGTCTGAATGGCTCCCTCTCTTTAGGATCTCAGCTCAAATGTAATCGCCACAGGGATACATTCTAACACCACCCTACCCAAGGTAGCCACCTACATCCCCAAGTCACTATCACCTAACCAATTGCATTTTCTCTACAGCACCTTATCCATATATAAAACTATCTTTTTATTTTAAATACACTTATATTTTGTCTACTCGTACCTAGAATATAGACTTTATAAGAGCAGAAACCTTCACTCTCTTGTTAACTGTTGTATCCTCAAGTGCCTAGAACAGTGCCGGGAACAGAGAATACATTTTAAAAACTAGTTGTGGAATGAACCAACATCCCAGAAAACTTTCATATCTACTTCATTCTCCAGGAGAAACTGAAGTTTAAAGACTCAATTAAATGAATCACCCAAGATTCCACAAACAAGACGGCAGCTTTGAGGTTTAAGGCCGGGTCTCTCACTAAAGCATGGGTTTTTAAATACTACGTCACCTTGCTTCACTAAACGTTTTTCAATTTACTGTGCTTCTTGTGAGTAGGAGTTAAGGCTCCGAGGTCTAATTTTCCAAACTGTACGCAAAAGGCCTCCACTCGACAGCACGTAGAACCACACGCCTGACCTCTCCGTCCTCCGACCCAGCGCCACAAAGCCCGCCCTGCGGGTTTGCCCAGGGCGCCTGCGTCATGAGCGGGGCTCGTGCAAAGGCTTCTGGGATTGGTAGTCCCTGTTCCTTCTGTCTAAGGCATTCACATAAAAAGAAATAAACCCCAGTGCAAATTAGATATCTCTGAATTGCGCACAAATTAAACAGGACGCAGATTCTGGAAAGTGGCGCAGACTTCTCGTTTTCTACCGAGAGGCGCCAGCCGGACCAGGCGCTGCGCAGACAGCCGCAAGGGTCCTCATCTGGGCGGGGCTTGCTCGCGATGGCTTGTGGCTCCTTCCTGCGCTGCTTCTCTCTTTCGCTTAGGCCCGTGGCGCCGGCAGCATGGGTGAGGTGTACCGGGCCGGGGTGAGGGGGCTGCGCGTGCAAACTGGGGTTTCGGGGTCGGGCGGGCAGATAGAAACAGAACGGTAAGGGGGAGCCACGGTGGGGAGCAGATGGGGAGCGCCGGGGGAGCGCCGCTGCCGCAGGCACATGGCCGGGCGGGAAGGGGCCAGGGCTGCTTGGAGGCCGCGGAGCCGGAGTTCGAGAGGGACGCGGGGGCGTTGGGGAGGGCGCCGCTTCCCCCCGAGCTTTGGCGCGGGGCTTCATTCGTTGGGGAGAGCACACCTGTTGGAGCGCTTGTGTCCACGTCTTAGATGGTTCAAGGGAAACTTTGCAGTTCGGACTAGGGCCAGGGTGTGATGTGAGAGCCTACCAGCCTGTAGTCTAGAGGAGGCTAGTACCTGAGATAATGTAAAATAAGATTTGGGTGTTTTTACTGGGGATCTAAGATGATTTTCAATTTTAGGTAAGTGTCGCGGTCTTCGTACTGCCAGGAAGCTCCGTAGCCACCGACGAGACCAGAAGTGGCATGATAAGCAGTACAAGAAAGCCCATTTGGGCACAGCCCTGAAGGCCAACCCTTTTGGAGGTGCTTCGCATGCCAAGGGAATTGTGCTTGAAAAAGTGTAAGTGAAAGTCCATCGCTGTTTCCTTCATGGTTTTAGTATCGTAACTCGGGATAGATGCGCTTAAAGAAGGCTTGATGTAAATTCTAGGTCTTTGTGTGTCTGCGTCTTTTGGGAAGTTAAATAACCTCCAGAGGTTTTTAAACTTTCAACATTAGTTTGGAAGGAATTGGGGTGGCATCGGAGGGGAGAAAGTAGCGATAATGAAACAAGGGACGTTATGAGAGCTTAATACGTGTGGAAACTGTTCTAAGTAATTTGCACCCATCAACTATTTCATCTTTACAATTACATTTTTCCCGGTGAGAAAACTAATATGGAGAAGTTTCTTGCCTGATGTTCTACAGCTAAGATTGAGTCACATGAATTTGCAAGCACTCAACTGTTTTTTGACTTTACTAAATGATCCCATCAAATTTAGTGGTACTGATTTGAATCCAGGATTTCTAGCTCTATTTCTTGGTTCGTGTTTTACAACTATAAAGAGGCCAGAAGTTTCCCCTATTGGTCTAATGAAACTAAGACTAAAGAAAAACTTCGTTTAAGTTTAGCAATTTAGGATTATGTTGAAAAGGTAGGAATACTACAATTTCTAATAAGTTTTACGCTTAATGAACTAAAATGTGTCCCTTTTCAGAAAGCCAGCTTACTGTGTTACATGCTGTTTATGTTTTAGAGGGGTTGAAGCCAAACAGCCGAATTCTGCCATCAGGAAGTGTGTCAGGGTTCAACTAATCAAGAATGGCAAAAAAATCACCGCCTTTGTACCCAATGATGGTTGTTTGAATTTTATTGAGGTAAGTGTTTTAGTCTGTTAGCTTCTGTTTTTGGGGTAGCAACTGTTTCCCTTAGTTGTTTATAGGATAAATGGGTATTTTTGGTGATTGCCACTTACACCAGAAGTAAACTGTTGATTTTATTCCAGGAAAATGATGAAGTTCTGGTTGCTGGATTTGGTCGCAAAGGTCATGCTGTTGGTGACATTCCTGGAGTCCGCTTTAAGGTTGTCAAAGTAGCCAATGTCTCTCTTTTGGCCTTATATAAAGGCAAGAAGGAAAGACCAAGATCATAAGTTTTGATGATGAAAGCAGGATAGTAATAAATTTCCATATGCCAAAAATATGTTTTGTGTCTTTTCTCACCACAGAGATGCATTGTATGCTTTACCAATTTTAGGAGATTGAGAAAACAGTTAATTCAGGATTTTCTAGAGTAAATGGAATTGATAACAAATATTTTCCCTTCCTCCGTGGAATAAACAATATTGCTTAAGTCTGAAATAAATATACAGTGTTCCTGTGTAAGGGCCTAAAAAACTCTTTGAGCTTCTAGTGGGAATCATCTTGGGATCCCTGAGAAATGTACATTCCTGGATCCATCTCCTTAGGGACCCAATATGATAGATACTATGGTCAGGTTACTCCCTGCTCTGGTGATTTTCATTTATCTAAAGGTCACCAGGATCCATCTGGTAATTTTGTGTTTATGATAGCAAAACTTAGGCACTACACAGTTTAGTAGACAGGAGTTAATGGAAGTGTATCCCAGGCAAATTAAGGCATAAGGGAGACCAGTTATGGAAAGATTGATCTAAGTACTCTTGTCTTGAGCTTGTCAGTAATAAAGATTTTGACCTTGAGATTTATTTTGAGGCACACAAAGTAGTGGAAGTGACTAGGTAGAAATGGTCCAGATGGGTCGGTTGTCTTTTGATAATTGAAGTGGGTGTTGGTTGGGTACATAGGGGTCCTCTGTCCACAAATTGCTTGAAGATTTTGATGGGAAAAAATGGTAAAATTATATCTAAAAAAGTTTATTAGCCTTATGAAATCTGTGATCTGAAGAACTGCTTTTGGCAGCATTAGTAGGTATGAGTTAATTTGTTCTCTGAGTTATGTTTAAGATCTTTGGAAAATGGAAATTTTTGGCTTACTATCTCCCATGAAGATCAAGACCAGTATCCATACCTGGCATAGGAGACCCTGTGTGTTGTCTTTTCTCTGCCTGCTCAGCAGCACGACCTCTCACTTGCTCAAACCTGCATTCCCCAGCCAGCTTCAGCTAGTGCCTGGCAGGTCACCTGCTGCTCCTCCCACCTCAGACCTCTCTGATCCCAAATTCACACTTCATACTTGTGCTTATACTTGTACTCTCTGTGCTTATACTTGTCGCAATTGTGTGATTGTCTTTCCACGAGGGTGGAGACAGGCTCTTTTTTGTTTTTTTAATTGAAATATATTTGACATATTACTAAGACGTACATGTTAATTTGGTACTTTTTTCTGTTTTTTAATAGGGGGAAGCTTTTATTCACACACACAACTTGAATAATACCAGGGGAGTGTACCAAATTACCAGTGAGCAAGTTGGTTTTCGTAGACATGTTCTATCTTTAACAGGCTATCTCCACTGAAAATTTCAACCAAAGATATCAAATATAGACGTACAGACATAGTACCATTCTCTAATCAATTCCACAGGATTTGGAGAGATGAGAAATACCTCTTTCATTAGAGCAGGAGCTAAATACATTGTCAGTTTGCATATGCTTTTCTTTTTAAACATTATTGGAGCATAATTGCCTTACAATGGTGTGTTAGTTTCTGCTTTATAACAAAGTGAATCAGCTATACATATACATATATCCCCATATCCCCTCCCTCTTGCGTCTCCCTCCCATCCTCCCTATCCCACCCTTCTAGGTGGTCACAAAACACTGAGCTCATCTCCCTGTGCTACACAGCTGCTTCCCACTAGTTGTTTTACATTTGGTAGTGTATATATGTCCATGCCACTTTCACTTTGTCCCAGCTTACCCTTCCCCCTCTTCGTGTTGTCAAGTCCATTCTCTACGTCTGCATGTTATTACTGTCCTCCCCCTAGGTTCTTCATAACCAATTTTTTTTTTTTTAGATTCCATATATATGTGTTAGCATACGGTATTTGTTTTTCTCTTTCTGACTTGACTTCACTCTGACACTCTACGTCCATCCACCTCACTACAAATAACTAAGTTTTGTTTCTTTTTATGGCTGAGTAATATTCCATTGTATATATGTGCCACATCTTTATCCATTCATCTGTTGATGGACACTTAGGTTGCTTCCATGTCCTGGCTATTGTAAATATTAGCTGTAATGAACATTGTGGTACATGACTCTGAATTATGGTTTTCTCAGGGTATATGCCCAGTAGTGGGATTGCTGGGTTGTATGGTAGTTCTATTTTTAGTTTTTTAAGGAACCTCCTACTGTTCTCCATAGTGGCTGTCTCAATTTACATTCCCACCAACAGTGCAAGAGGGTTCCCTTTTCTCCACACCCTCTCCAGCATTTATTGTTTGTAGATTTTTTGATGATGGCCATTCTGACTGGTGCAAGATGATTCCTCATTGTAGTTTTGATTTTCATTTCTCTAATGATTAGTGATGTTGAGCATCCTTTCATGTGTTGGCAATCTGTATATCTTTTTTGGAGGAATGTCTGTTTAGGTCTGCCCATTTTTGGATTGGGTTGTTTGTTTTTTTGATATTGAGCTGCATGAGCTGCTTGTAAATTTTGGAGATTAATCCTTTGTCAGTTGCTTCATTTGTATTTTCTCCCACTCTTAAGTGTTGTCTTTTCGTCTTGTTTCTGTTTTCCTTTGATGTGCAAAAGCTTTTAAGTTTCATTAGGTCCCATTTGTTTGTTTTTATTTCCTTTTCTCTAGGAGGTGGGTCAAAAAGGATCTTGCTATAATTTATGTCATAGAGTGTTCTGCCTATGTTTTCCTCTAAGAGTTTTATAGTGTCTGGCCTTACATTTAGGTCTTTAATCCATTTTGAGTTTATTTTTGTGTATGGTGTTAGGGAGTGTTCTAATTTCATTCTTTTACATGCAGCTGTCCATTTTTCCCAGCACCACTTATGGAAGAGGCTGTCTTTTCTCCATTGTGTATTCTTGCCTCCTTTATCAAAAATAAGGTGACCATATGTGCATGGGTTTATATCTGGGCTTTCTATCCTGTTCCATTGATCTATATTTCTGTTTCTGTGCCAGTACCATACTGTCTTGATCACTGTAGCTTTGTAATATAGTCTGAAGTCAGGGAGCCTGATCCCTCCAGCTCCATTTTCCTTTCTCAAGGTTTCTTTGGCTCTTCGGGGTCTTTTGTGTTTCCATACAAATTGTGAAATTTTTTGTTCTAGTTTTGTGAAGAATGCCATTGGTAGTTTGATAGGGATTGCACTGAATCTGTAGATTGCTTTGGGTAGTATAGTTATTTTCACAGTGTTGATTCTTCCAATCCAAGAACATGGTATATCTATCTGTATCATCTTTAATTTCTTTTTTCAGTGTCTTATAGTTTTCTGTATACAGGTCTTTTGTCTCCTTAGGTAGATTTATTCCTGGGTATTTTATTCTTTTTTTTGCAGTGGTAAATGGGAGTGTTCCCTTAATTTCTCTTTCAGACTTTTCATCATTAGTGTATAGAAATGCAAGAGATTTCTGTGCATTAATTTTGTATCCTGCTACTTTACCAAATTCATTGATTAGCTCTAGTAGTTTTCTGGTGGCATCTTTAGGATTCTCTATAGTATCATGTCATCTCTATGTATAGTATCATGTCATCTGTACTTCTTTTCCAATTTGGATTCATTTCTTTTTCTTCTCTGATTGCTGTGGCTAAAACTTCCAAAACTATGTTGAATAATAGTGGTGAGAGTGGACAACCTTGTCTTGTTCCTGATCTTAGTGGAAATGGTTTCATTTTTTCACCATTGAGAATGATGTTGGCTGTGGGTTTGTCATATATGGCCTTTATTATGTTGAGAGAAGTTCCCTCTATGCCTACTTTCTGGAGCATTTTTATCATAAATGGGTGTTCAATTTTGTCAGAAGCTTTTTCTGAATCTATTGAGATGATTGTATGGTTTTTCTACTTCAGTTTGTTAATATGGTGTATCACATTGATTGATTCGCGTATATTGAAGAATCTTGCATTCCTGGGATAAACCCCACTTGATCATGGTGTATGATCCTTTTAATGTGCTGTTGGATTCTGTTTGCTCCTATTTTGTTGAGGATTTTTGCATCTATGTTCATCAGTAATATTGGCCTATAGTTTTCTTTCTTTGTGACATCTTTGTTTGGTTTTGGTATCAGGGTGATGGTGGCCTCATAGAATGAGTTGGGTAGTGTTCCTCCCTCTGCTATATTTTGGAAGAGTGTGAGAAGGGTAGGTGTTAGCTCTTCTCCAAATGTTTGATAGAATTCGCCTGTGAAGCCATCTGGTCCTGGGCTTTTGTTTATTGGAAGATTTTTAATCACAGTCTCAATTTCAGTGCTTGTGATTGGTCTGTTTATATTTTCTACTTTTTCCTGGTTCAGTCTCGGGAGGTTATGCTTTTCTAAGAATTTGTCCATTTTTTCCAGGTTGTCCATTTTATTGGCATAGAGTTGCTTGTAGTATTATCTCATGATCCTTTGTATTTCTGCAGTGTCAGTAATTTGGTACATTTGTATGTGGTAACTGGACTGGCAGTTCTTGGTTTCCATCCCAATGTTTCCTAGTGCCTCTAATTGCACTGTTACTGGTTAAGCCATTCCCAAATGCTGACCAGATGCTTCCAGATGGGTGTAATTGAGCCAAATGGGGAGCCCCTGGGCCTCGCCTGCCTGTAACAGAAGAGGCTGCTGAGGGTCACAGTTTAACTGCCGGGCTCAGGTGCTGGGAGGGCACCCCTTGCGGGAGGGTGGGGCCCTGGCAGTAGGAAGCTCTGCTCAGGGGCGGGCGCGCAGAAGGGAGGAGGGGTCGGACGATAAGGCCGGGTGGAACAGACAGCCACCTACTCCGTCTCGCTCCTGCAGCGCTGAGACCTCAGCTAAACCTATAAAGATGAACAAGCCTGGGAGTTAAGACACCCTGCTACAATGGTTCGCACTTGTCTCCTGGGTACACCCAGGACGCCTCTGTCCTGTGACGACTGACCCGTAAATCCACCACAGGTGCCTCAGACCCAAATGTTTGACCCTGATGTGAGTTGCCTCTGCCTCCTGTGTATTCCCTCCATCCCACCCTCTACTCCCCCACCACCTGTGAATAAAGCCCCTTCATTCTTGGATCCTTCTCAAAGTTCTAGGGAGGGAAATGAGGCAGTAACCTTGGGTGCAAAATTTAAGCAAAATCCCAGCAGCTCTTTTTGGTAGAAATAGAAAAGCTAATTCTAAAATTTGTATGGAAAGGCAAAAGAACTGGAATAGCTGAAACAATATCGAAAACGAAGAATAAAGGTGGAGGAATCACAAACTGATTTTAAGACAATTTGTAGCTATAGTAAGAGGGTGTGGTGTCGGAGGAGGGACAGACACACATCAATAAACTAGGAGACTGGAAATAGACTTACACAGGTATGACCAACAGCTATGTGACAGATACAAAAGTAATTGAGGGGCGGACAGATACTTTTTTCAATAGATAGTGGGGACTTCGATTAGCAGAAAAATGGACTTCAACCTAAACTTCACACCTTTTACAAAAATTAACTCAAAATGGATCATATATCAATATAAAAAGTAAAGCTGTAAAAATTATAGACAAAAACATCTTCATGACTTAGGGTTAGGTGAAGAGTTCTAAGAGATTACACCAAAAGCACGTTCCACAAAAAGAAAAAAAGGATAAAGTGGTCTTCATCAAAATTAAAATCTTTTGTTCTGTGAAATATCTTGTCAAGAGGATGAAAAGAAACTACAGACTGGGAGAAAATATTTGCAAGTCACATATCCAATAAAAGACTTGTATCCAAAATATACGAAGAACTCCCTAATCTCAAAAGTAAGAAAACGATCCTATTACAAAATGGACGAATGAACAAACATTTCACTGAAGAGATGACAAGCACATGAAAAGATGATTAACATCAGCCGTTAGGAAAATGCAAATTAAAATCATAAGGAGATATCACTATACACCTAGCAAATGACTAAAATTAAAAATACAATACCAAGCACTGGAAAGACTGGAGCAACTGGATTGTTGGTGGGACTCTGAAATGGTAGTCACTCTAGAAAAGTTTGGCAGTTTCTTATAAAGTTAACATATGCTTAGGATCCAGCAATTGCACTCCTGGGTAGTTATCACACAGAAATGAAATGTCTGCCCACACAAAATCCTGTACACAAATGTTCATGGCAACTGTATTTGTGACAGTCAAGAACTAGAAGCAACCTAAATGTCCTTCAGTGGGCAAATAAACTGTGGTTGCATCCATAAATGAAATGCTACTCAGTCGTAAAAGACACTTGTTGCGTGCAACAATTTCTATGGATCTTAGTGGTATGCCAAGTACAAAAAGCCAATCTCAAAAGGTTACATATGTTTTGTATCATTTCATGTATATGAACTTCTTGAAGTGACAAATTATAGCAATGGAGAAGAGATGGGTAGCTGCCAAGGATGAATGATGGGGATAGAGACAAACTATAAAAGAGTGGCAGGAGGGAGTGTGTTTGTGGTGATGGAACAGTCCTGTGTCCTGATTGTGGTGGTATTTACACAAATCAATACTTGTGATGGAATTTCATAGTCCCCAGAAAGTGCATATAAAAATTGATGAAATAAAGCAAGTTCTGTGGTTTAGTTAATACTGTTGTAATGTCAATTTACTGGTTTTGAAAATATACTCTGGTTATCAAGTATGTTATTAAGGGGAAGTTGGGTGAAGTATACAAACTATACTGTTTTTGCAACTTCTTGTGAGTCTTAGTTACAAATTAAAAGGTTTAAAAATTGTGGATGAGTAAATATTTAAATTCTATTACCTCTTACATTTGCCTAGCAAACCCCAAACAAATCAGAAATTGTTAGTGCAGAAAGAATCTGGAGATCACTTAGTCCTGTGGTTCCCAAATCCAGAACGTCAGAGTCCCTAAGGTATTTGTTAGATTTTACAAATACTCCTGATCTTCTGGAAAACAATCTTTACAGTATTTCTGGAAAAAATCTGTCTTATCGACAAGCTATCAGGCAGTCTTTATGAAGCTATCCCCTTGCTTTCCACACTTATGGGGATACTACTGCTCTATTCCAGCCACCTCATTTTATAAGTCAGAAGCCAAAAATAGCTCAAGTATTTTTGAAATAATTTGCCGAAGTAATTGGCATAGCTGAAACTAGAAAAATAATCTGTCCTCTAAACTTCCTGTAGGAGATGCACCTCATAGCAAAATAATAAACACTACCTTACAGGTGGCTCCTTAGTGAATTATGGCATACATAATGCTGGGTATTTAATAAGAGTTTTTGTTGTAAACTGTATTATGGAAATACACAATACCTCAACTATATGGGGTTTTTTTCCTTTTATTTTTTGATAGAGCTGAGAGACAGTTCTAATTTGACAGCTATGCAAATTTGAATGTATATCTTTGTATAGATGAATTCATTCCAGGTAAATGTCTGGATTTTGTTATAATAGTCATCTGTGGGTAACATTCCTGGAGCCTGTTTCACGTGTGTCAAAGTAGCTAACATGTCTTTATTGATTTTACACAAAGTTGAGAAAAGAGACTAAGGTCATAAATTACCATATTACAATAAAATTTCCACTAACAGCTGCTTGTATAGTCTTTATTCTGACCTATAAAGTCTAAAATAAAATGGATCATCCAAGTATTAACTCACATTTCTTATGATATTGTACTTGGGGACTGCCTTGGCAGGATGTACTAAGCATTCTTCGTTTCTAGCACAATTTCTATCCATATTATTTGGTAAAATGATGTTATATTTACTAGTATGTGAGGAAAAGAAGTGGACTTTTTAAAGCTTATTGTCATGGTATTGTCACCACAGGAGTTTTAGAGCAAAGTATTAAAACATTTAACAACTGAATATTTTAGAGTGATCATTTGAGGGGACCCAGGAGTGACAGATAACCAACATTTCCAAATATGCACACAAACAGTTGCCATCTCATTCAGACTGTCACTTAAGCCTTCAATATGTGGTATCTATCTTCAAAATGAGGGAGCCACTCACATACAGCCCTTAGAACTTGAGCCAGGCTTGATGAACATCATTGACCTCCCTTGCTTCCCAGAGGATCTGAAGCTTTCAAACAGCAATTCTGATGATAAGGAGAGCTTTTCCTGTAGGAGGGAGAGGAGGAAATTGTGGCCTCCGATCACCTCTTCAGACCTTGCAGTCTGAGAAGTGTCAGCTTCCTCTGCAGGTCCTTACCAGTGATCTGCTTATTTGTGGTAATAAATTATTGACATGAATTGTCTATTCTACTCACAGTGTAGGAGTTTTTGTTTAAGTCTAGCTTTCTAAACCTCTTTGACTGTAGTTAATTAGAAGTCGAACAATGGGTCATGTTACTTGGCTGGGTTACAAGTGTAGGACATGCTGAGCATACCCAAATTTTCAAATAAGATGAGGTTAGATGCTGATAAATATATTATAATGCTTTCTTACCTCTTTAACAACCAGTGAATGTTTAAACCTGTACAATAGGGGGCAGAGTGAGCCACATTTTAAATAATTCTTTTTTTATGTCAATCACAGCTGAGAACAGTTGAGGGAAATGTTACTTGTTGAAACACATTTTGTCCATTAACACCTGCTTTGGAAACAATGACATGAAATAGATTGTCTTGTCATATCTTTCTCCCCCAACAGCTTGGTGAATTTGTTTAACCAGTTTATAAGAAGATATGTTTTCTCTATATAGCTTGACAGCTTCAGGTATTCTGTTTTTGTGTGTGTTTGCAGGTAAGTTGGACCACACTGCCCCCCCTTAGGTTCCTGATAGATTCCAGGTATTTCCTTAGAATTTTAATTCCCGTATATACAATAGTTGACTTTGTTTATTCTATATTTTACACATTTTCTTATGTTTATAATTAGGTAGTTTTTTTCCCCGTCACCATACCCCTTTTCCTCCTGCCCATGACATAACATAGATGTGTGTGTGTATGTATGGGTGTGTGTGTGTGTGTGTGTGTGTGTGTGTAATAGAAGAAAGCCATTTTGAACGATTTATTGACTAAGAGTCTTGATCTAGGATTATATTTTAGAGGGTCTAGGAATCTCCTGAAACTGTATGTAGAATTTTCTGATATAAATATGTACCTGTGCGTGTATGCATACACACACACACATACACATACCCAACACACATTTTTCTGGAAAAGGGATCTATATATTTTTCAGATTTTTGAATGGTTTCTTCCCAAGAAACCAGCTACTGTTTAAATTTGTACATCAGTGAGCAGATTATTACGTAATTTTCCAATTTAATCACAGCTGAGAACAGTCGTGAGAAGTTGCCTGTGATTTGACATCATTTATGAAATGTCCCCAGAGTGGTAAGGATCTGTGGATGCATGATTCAGGCTGCAGAACCTGCAACCTGCACATTTCACATACTGCTTTGACGGCACCAGCTAACCTACTTATGGAGCAGTGGGCCATTTTAGAGAAAAGTTCCACAATGTCACTGGTAAATACAGAATCAGAAAGAGGGTGTATAAAGCCCCAACCTCAGGAATAAATGCAGAGGGCAAAAACCCAAAGATGTTTTAACACCTAAGACTGAAGTAAAACTTGACAGAATAGATCAAATAAAAAATGTGCAGTGTGTGCCTGTAAAAACAAACAACACAACGTTTGTGTTTGCTTTAAAATATTTAAGCAACTATAAAGTTTTAAAAAAGGGTTAAATGAAGCAAATACGGCAAAAATCTTGGTAACTGCTGATTCTGATTTACAGGTATGTTAAAGTTCATTGTACTATTTACTTTTCGGTATGTATGAAATTTCCCATAATAATTTTTTTAAATTACATACATGTCCTAATTGCTTAACTGCCATACTCTCTCTGTTCCTACTAGAACCAGTACAGTCAGCTCTGATAGGGGCAAAATGAAGATATGGAACAATCAAGTGGACAATAAAGAAGCTGGAAACTAACCCTAGGAGCACTGAGACACATGTAACACATCAGGAAGAAACAAAGCTGAGAATCCATGCAAATTTTAGCAAGACTAGATGAGAAAAATGATCAGTTCAATAATAAAAGCACAATAAACTAAAATCATTTTCATTGATTTTAGGAAATGGTAAAACACAGACTGCTTTGGGGAATGTAAATTGGTATAGCCTTACTGGTAGAACAGTTTAGCGACATGAATCAAAAATCTTAAAACGTTCCATATCCTTTGATCCCTTCATTCCCTTAGTAACAGTGTAACCCAGAGAAACATAATGTGAGCAACTATTTCTGCACACATATCTTACATTTGAAAGCTCTGGGGGGAGGGGGACCCTACTGAACACTATATCCCTAGCACAGGTCCTCCTAACAATGCAGGAAATAAGTGCTAGTTGAATGCATGTTAAATAAACAGTGAAGAATTAGAAACAACCCCAAAAGCCCTAAAACTATTTGGTACATTTTGATTTAAAAGAAATACTAGTCATTTTAAGTTGTTTTTCTTCAAAGAATGTTAAATGACATGGGAAAATGCTGCACATAAAATGTTAAGTGGGAAAAATCAGGGTGTAAAACCATATACAGAATGATCCTAATTAAATATGTTTAACCACAACAAGAAAATATATCAAAATTTTAACTGTAGTATCCCTGGGTTATAAACACAAGTAAGTTTTAAATTTTCTCCTTCAAATTTTTCTGCGACTTCCAAATTATAAGGACGAAAATCTTTTTTTTTTAGTGAATTTTTAGTGTTGCAGTCTCTGGATACATGTGTATGCTGCATTAAAAAAGAGCCCAAGTCTTCTTTGATCACTTCCAGTCCAAGTTCCCACTCTCCACCTCTGAGGCAACCTCTCTTACAAGTTTTGTGTGTCCTTCTGACCACTTTAATGTTTTTAGATACATATACTGTATATGTACTACAGAAAATGTGTGGTATTAGTGTATTTTTTATATAGTGTTAAGTGGCATGCATAGTTAGCATCTAGTTTTTGTTTTCTGTTTTAACTCAACATTCTACGAGAATTGCCTGTTTTTTTTTCTTTTAATTTATTTATTTCATTTTATTTATTTTTGGCTGCGTTGGGTCTTTGCTGCTGTGCGTGACACACACACACACACTTTGTTGCTGTTGTGGTGAGCGGGGGGCTACTCTTCGTTGCAGTGCGCAGTCCTCTCATTGCGGTGGCTTCTCTTGTTGAGGAGCATGGGCTCTAGGTGTGTGGGCTCAGTAGGTGTGGCTTGCGGGCCCTAGACCACAGGCTCAGTAGTTGTGGCACACGGGCTTAGCTGCTTCGCGGCATGTGGGATCCTCCCAGACCAGGGCTCGAACCTGTGTCCCCTGCATTGGCAGGTGGATTCTTAATCACTGCACCACCAGGGAGGCCCCGAGAATTGCCTGTTTTGATACATGGAGATGAATTCACTCCCCTTAACTACTATATGCTACTATATTTAACCATCTCCTCTCACTACGCAGGAAAGGGCTTGGGTATTCTCTCTCTGAACCTACTGAAGGAGGGGGCTATGGAAACCTCCTCCCACTCTGCTGCTGGTGGCAGGGGAAATGAATCTTCTCAAAGGTTAGAGGAGTGGGTGTCAGTTCCCAAGAGCAAAACAGGTCCAGTCCTTAGCGTCTGCAGAAAGGAAACCATGGGAGGCTTCCCCTGGGCTCAGTGATCACCCACATACACAAACATTCCACAGAGATCTATTGAGTACTACCAAGTGCCAGGCACCATACTAAACCCTGAAGATCTGGCATGCACGTGTAAATACCAATGCACCAACGGCTGCAGATATACTGAACTATGACTTCCTGTTAGCCTATCAGGGCATGCTTTGTTAAATTTCTGCTTCACTGTTATTACTAACAGTGATCTCTGGGTATTTGAAAAGCTTTAAAGTAACCCAAGAAATCACCACCTAGCCATAGGTTTTATTTATTCTCATGTAAAGTTTATATGAATGTAGGAATACATGTGAGATTCCAGTTTGTTTTTAATAATTTACAAAATGGGACTTGGTGATCTCTAAAATCACTTTTCAGCTCTAAGTCTGTACAAGATATTTGCAATAGGACTCTTTGACCACTAGGTGTCGCTATTGACAACACAAAAGTTAGACAAAAGCAAGGGGTTTACATTACAGAACTGCTATAAAGAACACTAAGAAATTTAAGAATAAAAATGTGAAAGCACTTTTACAGACAAGCCCTATAAAAACCCAGAAGGGGCGCTTCCAGAACCTATGTGCATATCAGTTCCATGGGCATGCTAACAGTTAAGTACTCCCTATACCTTACAGAACAACGTTTAGCAACTTACTGGTCAGCAGCTTAAGAAGGGAATCAAAGGTCTTAGAATTGGAAGGGAGTTTATTTGCCTATTAGTTTTCAAATCTCTGCTCCCTGGAGTTAGAGATACGTTTACATCACAACCTAGTGCACACACACACACACACACACACACACACACCATAGACACAGATTTTCTATGTCTGTGTTTCTACTTCTAGTTGAAATCAAAGTTTCACAAAACAATGATAACCTATGTGCAATGCACTTTTTTCTATGTACTTGTGAACTAATAGAAAACATATATTGGTCTTTGCCCCAGTTCCTGGCACAGAGCTCCTAAATGCCTTGGAATTTCCCGGGTGATAGGACTGGCTTTTGTTCTAATGGGTTGACTCTTGGTGGGCTCCTGAATAGCTTCAGGATGGGAGCTGGTCGCCAGGAAGACCAAGCCCTGATTAAAAGCTTGGAATTTTCAGCCCCATCCCCCATCATCCGGGAAGGGGAGAAGGGTTAGCAGTGGAGTTAATGATTGATCATGCCTATGTGATGCAGCCTCCATAAAAATTCCAAAAGTACATGGTTCAGAGAGGCTCCAGGGTGGTGAACTCGTCTACATGCCAAGAGGGTGGTGCTCCCCAACCACAGGGGGACAGAAGTTCCTGCACTTGTGACCCTTCTGGACCTCACCTGTGCAGCTCCTCCTCTGTATCCTTTATCACATCCTTTGTTATATAACAAACTGATAAGCATAAGTAAGTGTTTCCCTGAGTACTGTGAGTCATTCTAGCAAATTACTGGACACAAGGAGGGGGGTCATTGGAACCCAGATTTATAGCTGGTCAGTTAGAAATACAGGTGACAATCTGGGACTTGCAACTCGTATCTTAAGTGGGGCAGTCTTATGGGACTGAACACTTAACCTGGACTTGCAACTGGTATCTTAAGTGGGGCAGTCTTATGGGACTGAACACTTAACCTGGAGGATCTGATACTAACTTCAGGTAGATGATATGAGAACTGAACTAAATTGTAGAACACTTAGCTGGTGTTGCAGACTTGTCTGATGTGTGGAAAACGCATAACATCTAGTGTCAGATGTGCTGTATGATAGTATTGTGACAGTAAAGGAAACCCAGGGAATGCTTTTCCTAGACATATTCTATTTCATAAAAAAATACTGGTCATACAATAAATTGATTTTGCTTGATCTAATACCCTTCCTTCCATTTAATACGTTAGGAAACAGAGATTCAGAGAGGTGCAGTGACTTGCCCCAAATAACACAGTAAACCAGGACTCAGACTTTTCAGGACACTGGCAGGTTTTGCTTTGAAAGGTGCTAGGCAAAATTCAAAAACTGTCCTTGACGTACTCCCAGCCCTTTCTGCACTCCTGTTTCTTCTAAAGTTTGTGGGCCAGTGCCTGCTGGTGAAAAAACCAACAAAGTGTATGTGTGATTAGTCCTTTTAAAAATACGAGTTCTTTCTGAAATACAAATATGATCACTTTAACTGTTCTACTTGAATTCCCTCAGCACCTCTTTGTGGTTTTCAGGCCAAATACAAATCATCAGTGTGGCAATAAAGGCTCCTCCAGACCTGGCCCCAGTCCTGCCAGCCAGCCTCACTCTTTACCACTTCCCCACATGCAACTTCAAGGTCTTTCCTTCCTCCATTCCTGGCCTGGCTAAATCCTAAGTTTTTCACAACTCTACTCACATTCCTCTTCTGTGACTCTTCCCTGGTGCTTGCTTTCCACACCACCGCTACAACACACGTCGTGCCATCAATCTTCTTCTTGTCTGTCTTCTCCACTGGACTGGGGCATTCGTATGAGCCGGGTCAGGGCTCTCGGTCTGCTGCCCCTGCCACCCAGCCTAGGGCTCAGCACACAAGAGGAACTCAGTAAGTATCTGCCGAAGTGAATCTTTGCATATTCTTACTCTCAGATTTTAATCCCCCCAAAACCCCAACTCACTGGAATATCAGCTCTCTGAATTATGTAAGAACTAGTTTTTCTTTGTTTTTTTTTTAACATCTTTATTGGAGTATAATTGCTTTACAGTGGTGTGTTAGTTTCTGCTTTATAACAAAGTGAATCAGCTACACATATACATATATCTCCCTCCCTCTTGCGTCTCCCTCCCACCCTCCCTATCCTACCCCTCTAGGTGGTCACAAAGCACCGAGCTGATCTCCCTGTGCTATGTGGCTGCTTCCCACTAGCTATTTTACATTTGGTAGTGTATATATGTCCATGCCACTCTCTCACTTCGTCCCAGCTTACCCTTCCCCCCCCCATGTCCTCAAGTCCATTCTCTACATCTGCGTCTTTATTCCTGTCCTGCCCCTAGGTTCTTCAGAACTTTTTTTTTTTTTTAGATTCCATATATATGTGAAGAACTAGTTTTGATAATGCAGATCTCTGTTTCCTAATATCTTGAGAGTATTAAGAAAAACTATACCTATCTTGGGAGAAATGGATGCAAAAACCCACTTCTGACTTTTTTTTCCTCCTTATCTTATACATATTGGGTGGGGGGTGGTAGTTTCATTTTTTTAATCTCCAGATTGTAGGCTAGTACCTGATGATCAGCAAACCCTCTGACCCTTCCATGGTTACTCAAAGAACTAGCCCACCCACTCGGGTCCCCAGACTGAAAGCTTTCCCTGGATCACTTACGAGGGGCAGACAGCAACCCTTCCTGAATGCCACCTTACAACATACCCAAAAAAGTGGCTCAAGAAGTTACTTATTATCCATCAAATCAGAGTGAAAAGGAGATAGTTAAATGCTTCTATGAATAAGTACAGGGATAACAAAGGGAGAGGTCCAACACGGGGGGCTGTGGTGGTCAGAGATGGCTTTGTAAAGAGTGGATCACATATAGCAGGTTGAGAATTGGGCAGAGAGATGGGGAGGGAAACACTTCCAGGTGAGAACCAGCATGAGGGACAGTCAGGCTGTGGGCAGAGAAGGCGCCCTACCAGGAGCCCATTCGCCTGGGGAGAAGTCAGGCCCAAACTGAGGCGGGAAGGAGCAGGCATGTGCCTCAAGGGCAGCAGGGCAGATTACCCTCCCCCGCTGACTCCATGCGGCACTGTGTTAGTTATGCAGCGCATTCAGACTCACTCACCATTTTGATCTCTGTGCCCTTGTTAGGCGAGTGGGATTGATATTAACGGACTTTTTAAAACAGAAGTGGTAACAGATTAAAGAAGATTAAGAAAATTAGCTCAAGCCACGCAGCTAGTAGCAAACCAACCTCACAGTCCAGCTCCCTAGACTTCTCCCAATTTCACAGACCCAAGAGTCAGGTGGGCCTCAAAAGTCACATGGCTGAGCTTCCTCATGGTGCAGATGAAGACTCTGAGGACCAAAGAGGTGAAATAGTTTTTCCAAGATCACACAAAAGTAGAGTTTAGGAGACTGACTTGTAGCAGCTTTAACCAGTCTTGTTCCTCACTGAAGGGGCTTTGCATTGTATTGGCTGGAGAGGAAACCCCGAAGAAAAAAAATCCTCATGTTGCAGAGAAAGAACTGTTACTTTGACAAAACAAAATATTTTCTAATTTTATGACAGTTGGGATAACAGTCTGTTATATAACTGCATTCTTAAAAAATGGAAATTTTTATCAACCAAAAATTAAAAGTTTAAGTGAAAAAAATTCTGAAAAAAATAGAGCTGCTTGAGGAGAAGCATCTGTCTGGGGAGGGTGGTCTCTACAACCTACAGGAGCTCTTCAGAACTTTGTTCTGCCACTGGTGAGTTTTTAGGTCTTCATCAATGAGGGAATTAAAAAAAAATTAACTTGAAAAAAAGAAACTAGGGCTTCTCTGGTGGTGCAGTTGTTGAGAATCCACCTGCCAATGCAAGGGACATGGGTTCAAGCTCTGGTCTGGGAAGATCCCACATGCCGCAGAGCAACTAAGCCCATGCACCACAACTACTGAGCCTGCACTCTAGAGCCTGCAAGCCACAACTACTGAGCTCATGTGCTGCAACTACTGAAGCCCACCTGCCTAGAGCCCGTGCTCCGCAACAAGAGAAGCCACCGCAATGAGAAGCCCGCACACCGCAAAGAAGAGTAGCCCCCGCTCGTGGCAACTAGAGAAAGTCCACGCGCAGCAACGAAGACCCAACACAGCCAAAAATAAATAAATAAAATAAATAAATTTATAAAAAAAAAAAAAGAAACTACACACTGCCCCCAAACTGACAGACTACTATCATCTCAGAATCTGTTCAAAAAGGATAACTAGTATTTCCAGACAAGTACATCATCCAGATGACACATTATTACAATTTTTTTTTTACCCTAGAAATGACATGGCTTGAGAAATGACTTGCTGAGAAATCTGTGTTTACATTAGGGAGAGTTGGCGGCAGGAGGTGGAAATCCCTTGCAGAAGCTGAAAAGATGTTAAGTGGTAAATACCAAAATGCCCAACAAGCATGTAAGCAGGCTCTCATCCCAGCAAGAATATGTGCAGCTCAGCGTTTTAAAATTTGCTTTTAGCTTTTCCAGCAGTTTGAATTAACCCTTTCTCTACTTCTGTTCCCTTCGTGAGAGTACAGCCCTTAACCTAGAGACTCACAAGGCTGTCGCGGTCCTCTGCTATTCGCCAGCAGATAATCCCCTCATCCTAACTGCTTCTCCAAAGTAGGCCGCCTCTCCAAATGCCTCCTAGACTTCCTTGCTATACAGATTCTCGGGGCAAGGTCCGGGCAATGTTAGGAAGTAAGTCCATCTTGCAGGAGCTATGCACAGGATTGGAAAAGACCTACTGGGAGACCAAAGCAACACAAATAAATGCCACTTGAAAGGTACATCCAGACCAGAACTTCTTCAGGAGCATGTGCATCAGAATCACCCCAGAGGGGCTGTTCCAGCAGGTGGCCCCAGCGTCTGTAATTGTAAAAGATCCTCAAGTGACTCTAAAGTGCATCCCCCACTGACAGACACTAATCTAGATGCTCTGAAGAGTCAATTACGTTTTTCTCTTAGTTTAAGACCCTAGCAAGTTAAAATGAAAAACAAAACAGGCAACCCCAAACCAAAAATTCTATGGTTCATCTTAATATCTTACTGACTATTGAACTTATTGACAGCCTAGGTGAATGACAATCAAATATAAGAAAGGTGACCATTTAATGAATATTTGCGTAATACTTTACCATATTTTCTCATACACTAAGGCTCTCATGTGCTTCACACAGCAACCCTGTGAGGTAGCTTGTTATTCTCAAATTAAAGGTGAAGAGAATGAGTCTCAGAGACATGAGGGAATGACCTGGAAGTGCCCTGATGATGTCAGTATTTCTATTACCAAGTTAGATTCCTCTTTTGCTCTTTATAGTGATTTGTGTCTTTGCAGTGTGTCTTCTAAACATAGAGTACATCAGTTGCTGCGGACATTTGCTTCCAAGGGAAAAAAAATCCACGTCAAAATCTCGGTGATCTGAATCTCACACCATATTGGTCCCATTAAAACCAGGGCCGGCCACGTAAACTCTCAGAGTTCTTCTAAGCTCTTTGGCTCAACAGAAGAATCTGAAGAACAAGAACAAAACAAAAGCCAAGAAAATAAAAGAAGGTTAACTGAGCAGGGAAGACTTGTTTCAAGGATATCAATTCTAAAATAAAACCACTCAGCTCTGTGGTTGGGTGAGTGTTATTATAGCAAAGCCAAAATCTTCCTAAATGAGTGGGTGCTGAGTGGTTGGAAAACTAAACAAACAAGTCAGTGCCCAGTCCGTTAAAGATGAAAGCAGACTTAATACATGGTGGTGCCAGCAGGGACGACATATCCAAGTGCAAAAGAGACACCAGGATCTTTGCAACAGTGAAACATGCAACGCAGGCTTCTCTTTTTACCTTGTCTGTTGACGTTTCCTTCATCCTGAAAGGCTGCTCTGGCGTAACTCAGAGGCAGATTCAGCCCGACAGCTGGCCCTACCATGCTCAGCCATGACGTGATGTAGTTGACATTCCTGGGAAACAAGTGAAACACAGAAAACTCTGTTTCCATTGTAGCTGTTTGAGTGGTAGAAAATCAGTTACCAACAATCATAGAAATGAGGCTTTCTTCAAAGACGTGTGCTCAGCACCTGGAATCTCAGCATTTCCAAATGCCAGCGCATTGCTTAACAGGGACTCGAGGGCCAAAGAGGCTGAGGATCCATCCCTCACTAAAGCAGTTGAAGGGAAGGTCAAGGCACTGGGGCTCCTGACTTCCCTCCATGATTCCAAGTTGATGCAATTGACAACATTAGCTAAGGTAGCAGAGTGCAGTTAAGTGCATGGCTTGGAGGCAAAAGTGCCTGGGTTCAAATGCCAGTTCCACCGCTTAACTAGACGTGTGACCTTAGCGGAGTCATTTAGCCCCTCTGTGCTTTAGCCTCCTCCTCTGCAAACTGGGCAAAATAATGGTCCTTAGCTCGGAGGGGTGTTACAGGAATCCAGTGCTTTACTATATCCGAAATACTTAGAACAGTGCCTAGCACACAGTAAAAAAAAAAAAAAAAAAAAAATCAATAAACGTTAGCCATTACTATTATTACAAAGAATATTTCTTTTTTAGCTTAGCTTTTAGAATCACATAAAAAGACTTACACTTTTAAAATAAGAGTGAAAGCCAATGTAGCTTGATGGTGTTTCTTACCTATTGATTTTCTGAGAATTCTTTAACACAGGAGTCATGAGTTCATTCGTCTTGCAGGGATGAAGTACGAAAAAGGGTTGTCCAAGTATCGGATGCTCCTGTAAGAATCAGAGTTGGCCCAGGATTGCCAGCTTAAGTTACCTTGAAAAAGTTAAAATCCATAATCTGGTTTACTCCTTTAAGATAAAGGTTTGTTTTAAATTTCAAGTTATAAAATTAAGATACAGATTGATTCCTATTTTGAAATATAATTCATAACCCAAACACGAGGAAAAGTTGGTGAGAAGAAACTATTTATCGATAAAGGACAGACACTCAATACAAGCTGCAGATACATTTATCAGTTCCCTCTAACTGTTCTTTAGCTAGTGTTTCCTTTGGCCTATAATTATTCTTCAGTTTTAACTCAAGGATATCCATGAAGTCCAGGAGCCTGACCATCTGAACAATGCATTTCATTCTTCTCTTTGTCAATGGTAAGAGGACCAAAATCATTCACATATTTTCTTACATAAATTTTGTCAACATGTTAATTGTTTCAGGCATAACTGCATCCAGTGCCAGTGGGCACATGTCCAGTGAGTAGACGGGATAGGTGGTGGTGTGGAAGAGGGGACCAGCTGGCACTATTTAAATTGCACTGCTTCTGTCTGTCTGTCTGTCTCTCCCTGAGTTTCTCTGTTTATCTATGTCTCTCCTTCTGTCTCCCCCAAGCCTACGGGGCTGTTTCCGTAAGTTCAAAGTCCGAAGACGGAACTCCACTGCCTTTATGAGAGAATAACTGGATGTAAGATACAGGTCAGACTGCTGCCAAGTTAGGGATGTGAACATCATTTGGCAAGCACTGGGGAGCCCTAGAAGGTTTCTATATAGTGAGTGATCTATGCATAAATTCTACCAATGCAAAAACAATTATTGTTGATAAATTTATCAATTGCTTACATTGTGCATTAGCCATTATGCCAGAGATTGCAAACCCAAATGCTGCTATGATCTGAATGTTTGTGTCCCCACAAATTCATACACTGAAATCCTAATGCCCAGTGTGATGGTATTAGGAGGTAGGGCCTTTGGGAAGCGCTTAGGTCATGAGGGTGGAGCCCTCATGATGAGATTAATGCCTTTATAAAAGAGGCTTCAGAGGGCTAGCTTGCCCCTTTCTGCCATGTGAGGACACACAGAGAAGTCTGCAACCTGGAAAAGGGCCCTCACGAGAGAGGGCTGGAGACCTAAACCTGGTCTCAGACTTCCAGCCTCCAGAACTGTAAGAAATAACTTTCTGTTGTATATCAACTACCCAATCTGTGGTATTTTGCTATAGCCGCCCAAAGAGACCAAGACAACTACCTATGAAGACCAGGCAAGTGACCCGAAGGGGTGAGGCCAATTAACTACACCAGCAGGTGACAAGGACTGTGGGGACCTGGAGAGCCCAGCCAAGGCTGTGCTTGCCACTCTGCTTCAGCCAGCTGTGCCATGTGGGGTGCAGGCTTGGTGTGCAAGGTCTCCCCATTTGTCAAAATAACCTAGAAATCCAGATTTTTATGCAAAACCCCCTAAATTTAAATATGGGCACAATTTTTTAAAAACATGGTGTGGGCCAAATAAAACAAGCCTGTAGGCTGGATCTTGACTAGGGGCTGCCTAGCTTCTTCTCCTGGCTTCTTCTCTTCTCAGCCAGTCCAAGGAGAAGCTGAACTCAGAGCTGTCCATGGGAAGAATTGTATCCTGCTGCCTCCACTGTCCAACCCTAAAACATTCATGGCTGTGCACAAGTGAACACACCCAACCATAAGAAATGGGAGGAATAGTTCCATTTGTATGGGTGACATTGGGCATGGAGATACATGTGTTTGTGAGCACGCGTGTGCGCGTGTGGTGAGGGCTGAGCTATCCACTGGGAGTAGGTTGGAGTATGTCTCCCTGAGTGCCACCTCCGGATGTCTCTGCCCAGGGTCCTGATTCTCACACAGAGCTTGAGCTCCCATCTCCTGCTCTCTCCCTACCCCTCATATCTGTCCCTAACCAGATGCTGGGGTCACAGACCCAGATGTGTTATGCTTATCACAAGTCCTCCTGTCCAACTTGACTCTGACTCCCCTTACCTGCCTTAAACTAATATTTATTAATTCATCACATATCTAGTGATCATCTCTTATGTGTCTTCCAGGAATAGTTCTGGATCTAGTTACAGAGATCACTATTTCTAAGATAAACCAAGTCCCTGATCCCATGGAACTTACATTCCAGTGCAGGAGACAGCCAATAAACACACAGAACAAATAAGTAAACAGGATAATCTAGATAATAGTAAGTGCTATGAATAAAACAAAACAGGGTAATGTGATTTTGGAGGGACTGTGGTAATAATTTCGATTTGGTGAAAGGGAAGGCCTTACTGAAGAGGTGATCTTTAAACAGAGATCAGAATGGCAAGAAAAACCCAACTGTGCAGAGAAACTTGATGGATACAGAAGACCATAAAGGGAAATGAGTACGGGAAATGTACACAGGAAATGTGAAAGAATTTTAGAATCATCCTGGACTAAAATAATTATTGTTTATAGAGCTGAGATTTAAAAGGTTAAATTTAGTCTAAATTCTTTTTGGATTACTTGTGTAGTAAACACTGGAAGGAATGAAGAGCAGTAACCAAATCTGTGAAGACATGTTACCTTCTTTAATAAAACGAAACCTAGACCTCCAAGGATGGCATTACATGGAACACTCATGAAGGGGAGAGTCAGCTCAGCCATGCCTCCACTCCTCCAGGACTCACCCTCCCCTTGGCAGCCCTTGTTTCCCACGGCCACTCTCACACTCATGGGGAAACTCCCCCAACTTTAAACACTTGAGCCCAAGTTTCCTGTAGCTGAGGTGGAATGGACTAGTCAAACAAGACTCTACTGAAAGCCTGGGAATACTGAAAGGGTAAGAGAACACTAAGCAACAGGGCTCTAAAAGATCCAGAGTATTACAATACTGGGGCTCCCAGGCCCATTTGAGTCACGGGGGACACTAGGAAGAGATCTTGGCTGGGCTTTCCCTTTCTGGCCTGCATGGTGGATGGAAGCACTCACAACCACTATGCAAGAGTGTCCTCCAAGAATCTTAACCCCTAATAATTCAGTCTCCTTGAGGAGATGGTAACTCTCATGAGGAATGGCTTCATCATATAGACAAGACCTTGCCTCTTCCTTACAGGTCTGTGGCCTAACGTTTACAAGACCTCAGAAGAATAACCACATCAGAGTATAACATACATCTGAGAGTTACAGACACACTTAAAGTTCAGGGGTCCACTTTCTAAGCAGGTGTCGGCCCATGTCACATTGTAGCTCTGCTTATTTGATGCTCCTTAGTAAAGACTTGGACTTCATGTCTACAAGTGATCTTTTGCTCACTCCATATAGCAAGTAGATAAGAGCAGGCTTGGGATCTGTAGTTAAGACTTAAGTTCTGCTCCACTACTCAGTAGCTGTGAGCTTTGAGGCAAACCACTTAATCATTTCATGTCTCTGTTTCCTTATCTGATAACTGGGACTAATGATAGTATCTACCTCATAGACTGACTGTGTTACTTCAATGAAAAAATGCCAGAAAACTGTTCAAAACAGTACCTGACATATATAATAAGCACTTAGTTGGCTATTATTATTAAACCCATTGTTATCCAAACAGACAAGGATAGTAGCACTCAGACATCCAGAATACGGTCTTATAATACCCTATAACAAAGTCCAATTTCAATATGTAAAAACAAAAAGCTCCTATAGAGTTATGCAGCACAGGAAAAATATCACTGACCAGTGTCTAAATGTTTAGGAACATTTGACAACTGATTATAACCAAGGGCAAGAAAACTCTAAATTAGTAAAAAGTCTATGTACAATATATATGGCAATTAGAATTATCAATATATTGGTATTCAGGACAAATTAATGGAAAATAATTTAAAGAATTTAAAAACAAGTTCAGGCACTTCAAAAACCCTTCAGTAATCTACAGCATTTTAATATTCATTTTTCCTCAAACAAAATAAAAACAGTTATATTAGCATTTAAGGTTATATTCTAATAAAATGCATGGTAATGCTTATGTGAAACACTTTTTTAAATAATAGGGACTTTCATGCCTTAGAAGAGCTTTTAGAGCAGCTTGGACAGTTCTTTAATACAGGTTTGGCGACATTAAAAAAAATTCTTTGTCTTTTATTATGTTAAGAACTTACATTTATATAATTAGATAGAATATATTTAAAGCAACGACTGCCTTTAAAAATCAAATGTTTAAATTGTATTTTAAACATGAAAATTATATTGTTTTGGTAAGATGCGTTGGTTTAAAAAAGCCAAGCTATGAGATGTTGAACTCCTTATAATAGGAATTATAATAAGGGACATTTGTGTAATCTCTTGAGAAAAGTTTTATAAATAAATAACAATAGGAGTAGACTTCTAGCTATAGCAGAATGATATAGAGGTCAACAAATTTCCTTGAAAAACAAGTTTAAAACTGAAAAAAATTGTCAAAAACACCCCACTTCTGGGATATGGAAATCAACCAAAGGCAAATAAAAAATTTGGTAAGTGTTTAACTCATGAAAAGCTGCTAGAACCTCAAGTCAGACACAGAAAGAGTCTTCAGCCTTCTTGCCTAGAAATACTCTCATACTCTCCCCGACCTCCACCTGGCTCCTCAACAGGGAAGTTTTACGGGACTGGAGCTGGCCATGAGAATCAGTAGCTGTGCTGCTAGCAGGGCTGACTTGATTTCCAAGTCAAAGAAAACTACTGCCCGGTAGCATTAGCAACAAAATCTAATAGGGAGATCTTGGAGGTGAGACAGTTGTAGAAGGGCTAGGTAAGTTCTCCAGGTATCCTGGGCTGATGGGAACTAAGCACATGTTCAGGGGAGGTACAAGAAGGCCTGATGAAAAGTAAAAGCTGATGACAACTTGAACATTAACTGAAATTTGGATGTGCTCCCAACCCACACACACATCCATGAACAAATGAGGGAAGGCTTATAGGCCTGAGGTATATAAGCACAACCTCTGTCCAATCACTGGCTAACCAGCAAGGTATGCAGATAGAGC